CTACTCTTCTCTCTCTCTCTCTCTCTTCTCTCTCTCTCTCTCTCTCTCTCTCTCTCTCTCTCTCTCTCTCTCTTTCTCTCTCACGACCGCCGCCATTCATCAAGGCCTCGTGAGGCAGTAGTATTATCAATTATCATTCCATAACTATGTATCATCGATCCATAATTGTATTTATCGATTAACACTATCATCTACCATGCCACCGTTCTCTCTTTCTCTCTTTATCTGCTACGTAACGTCATCATCGTCATCATCATCAATCGACGCGCTTCCCTCGTCAACATTCCATTCATTTCCATCCCGTTCCCGTTCCCGCGCATTACACTTCGCATTGATCGGTCTTCGAGACCGATTCTTTAGATCCTTGCCTCTCTCTTTTCTCAATTAACACCCGGTAATCGCGAACGAGCGAATGCCGGTCCATCCTCGATCGAACTTGTTCACTCTCACTACTTTTCTCTTTTTCTTTTTCTCTTTCTCCCTTTCTCTCGCTGAAACCTCCTCTCACTTCCTTCTCTCTATTTTTTTCTCTGATGCTTTAATCTTTTGTTCGCTTATTATATGATACGTATCAGCGTGCGGCCGCTGTTGATCGATCGGACGAAGTCTGGAGCGAGACGCGACCGATGATCTTGTAGAAAATCATCGCGTCGTGTCTAATAGCGCGGGACCGAAAGGATAGATTAATAATAGTTATTGCACTTGGACGGAAGACGAGTCCTTCTGGCCTACGATCTGACTCCGAGCTGCGGAGCTGATACCATCCAGGAAGTCTAGTCGAGATTTTTCCGATTTCACGCGGCGTAATCACGAGAAAATAAATTTCGAACATCCTTTTTATTAAATGTGTCGATAAAAAATAAAAAATTTCTCTTACTATTCATTTGTTAAAGGACAATTAGTTGATATAATTTTTTTAAATGCATTAAATGTTTGTCGTTTATCAATAGGCTAATTATTATTATTATTACATGTATGGAATCTTTTGAAATGTCACTGTAAAAAATTAGTTTTTTTCTTTGTTACTGAATAATTAATCGCGACAATCGTACATTTCTAATAATTTGCTTAATTCAAAGTATCTTTCTGTTAATTAATCAATCGTCGTGATGCAAATTCAGAAATTAGCTAATTCTCACACGATATACAACGGTGTTTTCTTCAAAAATATTTTACCCAAAACGTCTTTTACAAAATTTTAACGAATTTTAAATTTGGATATTTAACGGCTAAAAAATTTATACGCTTACGAACATATCTTTTATTCCTGCAAAATTAAACAGGAAATAATCAAAATTAAAAAACTTTATCTAAAATTTCAAGCACAACATGCTTCCTGGATGTGTATTATTGTCTATGAGGATTCCTCCGTTTGTAATAGAGGACGCAAGGACTGTAACTCTGCTATAATTAAATCATTTAAATAAAAGTACAATTTTTTTATAAAATATCGTGTAACATAGAACAACATGTTTTAATATAATTTATTATATAAATTTAGACATTTTTATCGATTTTTCAAAAGAGTCTGCAATGCAGAATACGAAGGTATTTTCTTAAACTTCAAACAAATTGCATCGTTTTAATGTAGAAAGTAGAAACTCATCCAAAGAAGAAATTTCTTGACTAGAATTTAGAAAATACGAAATAATTGCAGACATACATAATTTATCTAACGAATTAAAAATACGCTTATATTGCAGAAGTACATAAAAACATGTTGCTTCATATTAGCAATATTATGTTCGTTTTCTGGAAAACTTTTAGACTCTAAATCCGTTTTGAAATGTTGACGTTCAAAATGTCACAATGTTCTACATAGCACGAGTTACAGTCAGTTTTACGTGGGGATTATTCTCGCGTCCCCGTTTAATCCGGGAAATTTCGAGAGGCAGGACTCACACCCTCTCTTGGGAAGGTGAAGTTCCACCGCTTGGCTGTGGAATCGAGACTTCGTCGTCGAGGATCGATCGCGAGCGCCGCTCGCCGAGGGGAGCGCGATCGCTCGCGCGCCCCAGCAAGAAGGAAAACTAAATCTACCGCTTCGCTTCGCGTTCAGCCGTCGCGCATACTTAATTGTATACATGAGTTACGAGTAGTAATAGTAATAGTAATAATAGTAGTAGTATAGTTTAGCTTGTCTCATAAATATTGTCTACAGTATGGAAAGTCGGGCGGCCGTGGCGCGCGTATTTGGCGTGGCGTAGGAATACGGGACCTGATGCCAGGTAGCGTCCGAGCACGGGTACTCAAAATCTGTTCGAGCACTTCGAACATTCGATCAGACTGGAAATTTCGGCGGGCAAACGATCGACAAGCGTCGATATTCACGTTTCCACCGTACATTCAGCATCAGTCATGTGTCTCATTTTGATTTTAATTAATATTCGCGCGATCCTGGCGTCGAATCGCACAATCGGACGGTCACATTTAATGCCAAATGTGCGAGAAGATAGTAAATCATCCATTAATTCAATAAAGCATGTATTGCAATTGCAAGACATTATTGTTTAATTGAATTTTGAAAGAAAAGGATTAGGTTTTATTAAAAAAAATAAGCATGTTATTTTTCATCGGTTAATAAAACAAAATAGAATAGTTGTTCGCTACGAGTGTGTTTTTATCGTTCGAGGTCTCAAATAATTGAAAAACTTTTTGCGTACACCGTACTCGGTACGCGGCCATTCGTCATGCCTATCGACCCGATCGCGCACGTCGATGCGTCAATGTGTGAAAGGAGAAAATAAAGACTCGAGTGTGAAGGAATACGCGAGGGGCCTTAACGAGGACGCTTAATTAAAAGGAGTTAATTATACGCTTTATATAATATAAATATATATACTTAAATGCATCATATAGGAATCTACGTTTGTGTATCTGGCAGTCTGACGATCACAATGCTGTAGGAATACCTCGCGGTAGTGTGTGCATAATATATAAATATCTATATGTATGTATGTACGTGTGAGGATGTAGATGTGTGTGTGTGTGTGTGTGTGTGTGTGTGTGTGTGTATACGCATGTATTTGCACCCACGCGCGAGTTATATATATATACGTGTAAACGTATATAGAGATGCTTCTCTCCTATAAACTGTCTCTCTATCTCTCCTTATTAGCATGTGGTATGTCGAGTACGTAACATGTAGGAAGTATAACGAAATAGCGGGGAGACGATCCGCGCGAATCCGTGCCTAATACTGTGATTGCTTGTGGTTGCATCGCTGCGAGGAATATAGTGTAAATGGCTGTCTTGTCGTTGGACAAAACTATGGAAATTTCTTCACCGCTTTCAGGCTACCCGCGGTTGACGCTGCGTTTCCGATTTCGTGAAATATGTGAGCGAAAATTTTCAAAGTATCTTTTACACCTAAATTTAGGTACGAGTAACTACGTTAACTTACGTTAATAATAGAAATATAGACTGAAGAAAGACTTATTAAAGTTTATATTAAATAATATAATTAAAAAATCTCATTTTTTTTTAATTTCAATAACATAGTTTTATACCAAAATTTTCTCCAAATGAAACGTAACAGATGAAAACAATTAGAGTCCAAAAAATTTGAATGGATAAAATAATAACATTTTCGACAATTTCTAAAATAACTTGCGAAATATTATATATCTATTATAAATCTATAAATATTTTTTTCATATGTACACATATTAAAAAAGTAATTTTGCAATAAATTTTGTAATAAATTTTATCGTTCCTTAAAAGTAAACGAGTTCTACTCGCTAAATATTCTAATAAACTTAATAAATTTTCATAGACACCTGCCCGCAAGCTTTATAAATAATTATAAATTTTTTAATAGAAAAATTTAATCTATGTATTTTTCGATATTTCCTAAACACGTTGCAATGAAATTTCTCATTGTATACTAAATATGTGTATGTCCAGTAACCACGAATGAATAAAGTTGAAAAGTAAAAGACTCAGAACAGCAACAAATTTCGTAATTACAAAAAAAATACAAAATTCACTTTAAATACGACATCATACTTAAAGAGAACCGTGTTGCTCCTAGATTTATTTACGCTTATGTTCTCGTCTCAATACGTCAAAATACAAAGTTCACACTCCAAAAAAGCTACAGCATCGAAGTAATTGCTGTCGATCAGAAAAATTCACGTGATAAATCGAAACGATTGACAGTGCGAATCAGAGATTAGATTGCCGCCTTAATTCGTTTTTTTTTTCCATTTCCCAAATCATTCGCAGTTTTACGTGCGCCGTAAAAATTCTTAACGCGACCGCTTGGTTCGGCCTGAAAGTGGTGAAGTCTGAGCTCGCCTTCGAAGACCCGAGGATTCAGGGTTCAAATGACTGTAGCGTCGTTGATATTGACGTGACTTCGTGGCTTGTGTAGTCGTACAATACCGATGTGTCGCGCGAGTGCGCGCATACGTGTATCGGGTCGACGGACATTAGTTGACGTGGCCGCGTTTTCGATCTTCTCGGAGTATTCACTTTCTCTCACCCACCCTCGCGTTTTCCCCTTCTTTCATCCACGTTCTTTTTTTTTTTTGATGTCCCCAGTAAGCCACACGCGCACGGCTGCGCCCGTTTAAAAATATGGAACCAGTGTGACCAGAATGGTTGCTATGGAAGAGCTCCGGTTTACCGGACGGTCTCAGTCCGGCCCGGGGCGGGCCTCGTTATTGAAGGAAAATCTGTCTAGCGCCTCGAGCGCGCGCCTGTTGTGAGATCGCCATACTATCGGATGTCGAAAACGAACGCAAGAGTGGTCGCGTCCCGCTTCTTTCCTCCCACAAATTGCGTCGATTGTATCTTAAACGTAAAAAAAAGACGCGGAAATCGGCGATCTGGCCGGAGGAAGTGTCCTGCTTCAGCGGGCTCGAGGATGAGGTCTCTGGGCCATAAAAGTGCGCCCCGGGCGGGAGATCGACGCGTTCTCTTGTTTACACGCGGCATATATCTCGTTACATAAAAATAATTAATTAATTAATTAATCAATCAATTGATTCATAATAATAAATCTTAAAAAAGGATAAAAAAAATATGAATCCAAGATCGGGACGAGGGGGTGGGCCGCCCCCTCCTCCCGAAGAAGCAGAAGTCTCGACGCTCTCCGTCAGTTTCGATCGTCTTAATTATCGTTCTCGTTTCAAACCTCACTGTACACCTGCTACATATCCCCCCCCAAGCCACCCCCCTCTTCGCTCTCTTCGAAGTCGCGCATACCGGACGTCGGTCGTGCGCGTGAGAGACACATTTCCCATCTTCTCGCGTCCTCTCTCTTCGCTCTTCTCTTCATCTCTCCCGCGCGCGATCGCGCCCGCAAACGACGCCGACGACGTGCAGTATACCGACGCACTCCCCCTTTCTCCCTTCCTCCCCCTCCTCTCC